TGTGCGGCTGCCACCACCCCTCCTCCCCCCCCCGCCCCCCTCTGCCTCAGGTAACTGGAATTTTTACATAACTGACACCCAGCATTCCCCACTCATACTGGAGAAGAGGGATTTTATTATGATATTTTGAAAATTTAGCTTCATTTTTCCCACATCTAAATATTTTGATAACTATGGCAAAGGCAAATCCCCTTAGTTTAATAATATTTTTTGTGGTTAGATATTCGTGTGTCCTGGTCTCCACTTTGATATGTATGCATCACTCCTCTTAGTATTTTCAGTTCTAACCTGCACATGTTAAGTAGAGAATATACTTCTGAATGAATTATTATTCCATAATAAATTCAGTGAAGGAGAATCCTGGGGAAAATATTTATATTCTGTTGGTTATTCATATAGAATAATTAGAAAGCCCTGAATGTTGTAAACATGTAGGTCTCTGTGTTGTGTTTCATGTTTTCTAAATGTTTTAGAGTTCTGAACATTGTCTGTGCAATAGATTGTGTTAGTATCTTTCTTCATTACATTTTAATTCTCATTCTAGTTTGAAAATTCAAATTTTTAAGTTGCTATACATTGCTTTGTCTGTGACCTCAGGGAAGTGAATCAGATTTGCCATGGTGGTATTTGCATTTGCAGACATCTACTGCTTGAAGATGATAACATTTCATCCCTTTGTTTAGAGATTTCCTACAGGCACAACTGATCAGCGGAACCTGCTTCCCAGTGGAAACTTCAGCAAAGAAACTGTTGAGCTTTCTTTAGTGTCATTTATTAGATTTTATTTCAGGGTCAAAAGTATATAAAAGCTCACTCCCTGGTGATACCCAGTTGACTTATTGCATATGAATAAAAAATAGATAAAACTGTATGTCACTATTATTCCCCCTGTGTATCTGCTTGAGCAGTAATTATGATACACCAAAAGAGTGTCTATAAGAGGCCATCAAGTACTGTAGAACTACATTTTACAAATTACACTGTCTGCAGAATTTTTCAGTATACTGAGTCATTATTATCTGATTTGGTAGCATTTCTGTGGAGCAAAAAGAGCACTGGTAAACTCTATAATAGGCAGTCATGTATTCTGTATAGCAAATATTGCTGCATTCCTTTAGATCAACTGTAACCGTTCCTACATTATTCGGGGCAGTAATGAATAAGGTATAATAAAATGTCAGATAAATCAAGATTAGCATATTTGATTAAATTGGAGTAAGTGACTGCAGTGATTATACATCATATCCATCCTGCCATGCCTTATATTTGATTTAACTTTTAAGGGTTACGCGTTTAGGTAAACAAGTAGGATAATTTAAGAATGAGTACCTTTGTCTTGTTCCTTACTATAAACATTTAATTATAGATATTTTCCCTTATGGTTTTTATAATTAAATTGTAAGGAGGTAAGTTTTAAGGTTAATAAGAGCAGAACATGTAGTCTAATATTTTTCAGTATATCATATACATAGACAATATTTTTTCCTTTTATTCGAAACAAAAATACCTGTTGTTCCCTTTATAAAGTAATCAGTTTTAGAAATCCATAGCACCTTATTTACTCTGCTTCAAAATCTAAAAGAATTTTACCTGTGGTTTTCCATTTGTAATTTCTATAGCACTATGCTGTAAAGTACTGTTTTTTCATCATCTATTGAATTTTCATAATTTTCTCCATCTAATTCCTTGGAACAACAGCTGAACTCCAAACACCTGCGAGTTCAGAATCTGCTCACTACTATGCATGTCATCCCAAATGAATACTCATGGATCCTTTATGTGAAACCAGGTCCCTCCCTACAGGTTCAGGCCAGAACAGAGATCTGCCCAAGATTGAAACCATTGAACACTTTGTATCCTGGCAAGTGTATAATTTACACACAAAAATGCTCTTTAGCTGCAGCTTTCATGCAAGGAAATCACTTAGGGTCCCTTTTGTGTTAGAGGGGAAGCAGTTGTGAGACTCTGTAAGGAGATTTTTTCTAATTTAAAATTAATTGTTTGTTAAACACAGCTTATGAAAATCCTGGGCCAAAAGGCCACACAGTATGGTCCTACAGAGGTTGTTTTTCCCCAGATCTTTCCTCCTCTGTCCAGTGCTGGTCCCTCCAGAGCTGACAGATACCAGGCAGGACTATTTCTACAGAAGTCAGCAGTGTAAATCCTCTGTGGAAAAGTTAATTCAACTTTGGGTCCCAGTGCTGAAAGAAGTATATGCCCCTCCATAGATGGAGAGTGGGACACATGCAGGAGGCCTTCTATGGGGTGCTCTGAACTCTTTTGAAAGCTTGAAGTTGAACCATTCCTTTTTAGATGTTCCTTTCTAGATGCGTTTACATGGTTCTCCTATGACTTTATGTTAGTGCTGGGCCTTTAGCACTCAAGATCATTGAAACATTTATTTGAGCAAAAAATAAACTCTGGAGAATTGTCTATTTTACAAACACAGAGAAGAGAGGAAAGTAGGTATGAAATATTCGTGCTACCAGCCTCGACAGGGCCCCTTTAAGTACTGCTTATTGACTGTGGGATCTGCTTTGTGCAGTTCTCCTAACATCAGGACAGCAAGCAGGGATAACTGCAAAGCAGGATGAAAGGGAGCTTCATTAGTTCTGATGAGATTTTTTTTACCGTCCCAGTCTCCGTCTTGCATGCAGGGATGAAAGAACCACTGAGGCTACCAAAAGTTTTCATTAAAGAAAGTTTTATTTGTTTCAGAAAGCCTTTGAAGTCTTGAAGTTTACTACAGGTAGAGTACAAACTATTCAGTAGTTTCCTGAAGTTTATAAAAATTGTATTAATGACTGCTTTCACAATGCTTAGAAATGCATTTTATATATAGGGAGAGAGGAGAAGGGCAACCACTTCTCTCCTTACTTCTTTGCTCAATGTTATCTACTTAGATGGTAAACTTTTAGAGAGCAGAGACCTGTCTTATTACTCTGTGTGCGTGCGTGCATGCGTGCGTGCGTGCACGCGCACAGTAATGAGACAGGATTGTGCCCTCCAAAAGCTTACAGTCTAAGCAGAATAACATTCTGCTCTTTCACACACACTCCAGCCAAGTTACTATAACCATATTTTTTACATACAGCATGCCCCCAAATAAAAGAGACAGCTTGTTTTTTGGAAGGCAGAATGAAGAAGGACTTTTTTTTCCCTAGACTTATGGCTTGATAGAGCAGGAATAGAGCATAGCTGCTGCTGAAGACTGTTTTTCATGGGTGGAGCTAGAGGTTCCATGTCTGTGAAATAGGAGGAGAGACTTGGAGCAGCTAGTAGATATCACAACTGCCTAGAGAAAGGTTAGCTTGACTAGTAAAACATCAAAATCCTTAAAAAGGAGAGGCAATTGTTAACATTTGCAGAGTGAAGATCAATGAGCCATTAAGTTAATTGTCTCACTCAGCTGCCTGAATAATGATGTCACTGGTGCAACACTGTGCAGCCTGAATCAGGGCAAAGTATTTCTATTCTGGGCCTAAAATTAGCTTCCCCATTTAAGACATGGCCCCCATTTTGAAGGGCTGATTTTGAAGCGGGGGGGGAGTTGCATGCGGTGTGCGAGTAAATACAGTAGTATTCTCACTCACTGGTAGAATTTAGTTTGATATGTATCACAAAAACTAAATACTCTAATGCTCAACCGTTTATTCTGTTACTTGAAAGTATTAATATTTTTAAATGTAATCCCTTCCCTAAATGCGTACGCATAGGGAAACCAAACCAAAACCTATTTTCTTTTACAATGCAGACCTCTCCATTCTTCCTACACTCTGTAGCAAATCCTAGACTTTCTTCTGTTGTTCTGTTATAACTTATTCTCCCAAGTTCAGACAAACACTTGTTAGGTATGTTAGGGTTGCGTCCCATCACATATATGTGCAGCAAATCTCTAAAGCTCTCCTAACTGCCTATGTTTCACCTTTCTTTTAAATACAGCCTTTATGCCTTGTCTTCCTGGGTCAGGAAAACTGTATGATCTCATAAATTACGCTTAACCATAGTCGTTGCTAGAAAGTTGATAATGTGATTTCCTTGGCTACTGCAAAAAGTTAGCTATAGCATGGACTGCTTCACCTCTCCCTTCAAGCAGTCAGGATATTAAGAGATGGTCTGTGTTACTGCATAATTTGTGTCTGTAGACTAAATCTATTTTGAAATTCAAAAAATTAGGGGAGCCCCGATAGAGATTTTTGGGGCTGATGCTGATGGCCAGATTTTAAGGAGCCATATCGTCCGATACCAGTCTGATTCCAATATGCAGCCGGGCAGCTTGGAGACCAGTATTGGGCTGATAAGTCTGATCTGGGGGAAGGGACATGGGGGGGCGCATATCAAGGCCCC